AAAGTCAAACAATTTGGTAAATAAGAAAGAGAAATATAATAAATAGTTGAGGGTGACCGAGCGATCCGCTTCCGGTTCGGCCCGAGGCGTCGAATTAACCACCGCGTCGAAACGGCTCCCCACCCCACGATTTCTTATCCGCCCTCGTGATCGCCTCCCGAGACGCGCACACAAATCTAAAAAAGAAAAAAAAACGTGTCGAGCACGTGTCGATCTCGGGCCGCCCGCTTCGCAGGTTGGGACCGCCGAGGAAGTCGAAGCAGATGCATAATTTACTTTTTTAAATCTACTCGGCGGACGTACCTGCCTTTGATTGGAGAAAAATAATATGCAAGCGGGCCCGACGCTGGCTTTTAGTGATAAGACAGGTGTGTCTGTGCGCAGAAAAGCAGAAAAGGGGCGAAAGTATGGCTCTTCCGGGAATCTCTTTGGCGGGCCGAACACGTGGGGGGAGGTGACCGGCACCAGCCGGTCGCCCCAACCGGATGGCCCGGCATCCCCCGCCCACCCCTGTAAATCCTTGTTTGTATTAACCACCGCATGCCAATTCCTCCTCTAAATTGCCTTGTTATTTAAAAGTGTTTTTGTTTTTATAAAGCCTTTGGTCCTTCTCGGAAGGGAGCGTCAGGGAGGAGAGAGAGACAGAGCGAGGAAGGGAGAGGCGAGGAGAGACGTTTAAGAACAGTAAGGGGGACGAGGAGGCGGTACGAAGTGATCCAGATCTGTCGGCGTGTTCCAGGAAGTGATCCTTTGGATTTATGATGGAGAGAGACTTCTTGGGCATGAGTGGTGGGAAGGAGGACACCAAAGGGAGCCGGCATGATGCAGGTGTACCTTTTAGGCGCAATAGGTTTAAATTTTGTTCTTTTTTATCTTGTTTTCATTGATCTACCGAGCTCTGCCTCATAGGCTTCATGTTTAATATTTTTAGAGTTGTTATACATGCGTTGCTATTTTGTTGATCTTGTGGATTTATCTATTTTTGGTTGTCAACAAAGCCCCTACTTGTAAACAAAGCCTAACTAGGAGAAATGATGTTCTTATGGTGGTAGGATTAATCCAAGGTTTTGATTACCTTCTGTTTCTTGTGGTGTTAGCTAGATAAGGTTAGCCTTAATTCCTGAATAATCCTTTTGGATTTTGGATGCTGCGTCTTTCGTTTCCATTGCTTAAAACTAGATTTGCAATTTATCTTATGAACGAGCCACTCAGTTTTATGTTCTTGGTAAAATATTGAAGCCTGTGGCTCAATTTATAAGGAAATAAATAGTGTAATTTACAGATTAATTTCTTTATTCTCCTTTATGTTGAACACAGAGTGAGTACCACAGGTTGTCTTTTTTTTTTAATATATAAAAAAGAAAGTTGAAGATGTCAGCTAACTTAGAAAAGAAAAAAATGTTAGGAGTATTTTCCTACATGATTATGAAAATTTGACTTGGAAATGGGTATTATTCTTTCTAATCTATATTTTGTTTAAAAGCTGAGATTAATGGTGAATGGCCGCAATCTCATTCTAGACTTGGTGCCTCTGTAGGCTCGGCCGTTCGGTGGCCTTTCACCAACAAGGCCTCTGCTATGCAGCAATTCATGCTCCACAAGGCTGCACAAGAGGAGAGGGCAAACAAGTACAGATTTGATCGATTGTCCTCTCCCACGTTTCATCCTGTTTCGGTTGTTGATGCCTTCGAGGCCGATCGCAGTGACTTCTCTGCATTGGCACAGCAGGTGTGTGTACATCTTCGGGTCGTTAACCTCGTTACGCAACACTGGAATTGTTTTTATCAAACTGACACATTCTTGTATCTTCTAGAGATCATTCAGCCTGCATGATTACCAGCCTCAGGCCACTACGACCTTTAGTTCTTCCACACGCCAGTCGAGTGAAGCCGGAACATTCCCTGTGGTTTCACATCATTCCCTTCCCATTACAACTAATAGCCCTTTCTTCAAGATTCATGGCACCCAGAGTGCTCCGAATATCATGATAACCAATTTAAATCAGCAGCCTCTCGCAGGAGTTGCATTGAACACCCCTGTTGTTAATACTTGTGTTGGAGCCCTTCCATCATGGTAAGAAATGCGTCGTCATCGTTAATGGCAATGCCAGTATTGTTGTTGTCTTTGTCTCTTATAATGGATTCCTTCATACAGGAACATGCCCAAACCGGCCCCGACGAGTGCACAGCTAACTATATTTTATGCTGGCACTGTTAATGTATATGATGATGTCTCTTTTGATAAGGTATGGTGGGTATGATCTACCGGAGGTTGAAATGTTGATTTCATAATGGTGAAGCTGTTTTCCTAACATCTGTTCTTTCAGGCTCAAGCAATTTTGATGCTGGCAAGTAACGGATCCAATGGGGCTTCAAATGCTTCAAGATCTGAAGCACCTTTGTCGGTCACACCTCTGGTTCCACCTAAAATTTCTGGATCTGATGGGTTAAATGCAAAGCAGATCTTGAACCCGACTCCAATTCGTGTGGCATCACCCTGCTCAGTCTTCTCGAACCCGATACCGGTGACCTTGCACACGGTGGCTAACTCAAGTAGTGTAAGTAGCACCAAAAATGATTCAGTTGGTGCGAAGGTTGTTGGTACCTTGTCCCCCTCAACGCAGCAAGGGCCACCCAGAACATCTTCCGCTGCTGTAGGCTCTATAACTAGTGCAGCTATCATGCCCCGAGGTATATTTTGTTTTAAGGATGATCAGGTGTGCATAATTGAATAGGTGGATTGCATGGAAATTAATTGCACAAGAAATATGTCACAATCATTCTCTTCTTCTTCTTCTTCTACAATCAAGCCATACACAGGCTTTTTTTTTTTTGTAGTGGTTTCATCTAATTAGATTGGTGATATATGTATGCAGCTGTACCTCAAGCTCGGAAGGCATCATTAGCACGATTTCTTGAAAAACGTAAGGAAAGGTAGGTTTATCATGTTCATATATGTCTTTGTTGCTCATTAGAATGCTTATGTCTTCAAGAAATATGCTTACGATCGACCCGAGTTTTTTTTGCACTAAGCTGTTGATTTTCTTTCGATGCCTTATTACTTTTACAGGGTGAACGATGCGATGCCCTATTCTTGCATCAAGAAAACCTCAGAGATTGGTAGCGGACTTGAGAGTGCCAGTGCATCGAGCATTTCTTCATTAGCTGATGTCAATGTTTCAAGTAACCGAGAGGACTCATCGGATTTAAGGAACCAAAAGAGTGGTATCAGCTATGGGGATTCTCTAAGTACTAAATTAAGGATATAGAGAATGTTATGTATTCGAGCCCCCGACTGCAGTGTTTTCAAAATCAAATTGGAGGACTTATCATATGTTCTGTCAAATAGAATGGCTTTCATAAGTAAATGTGATTGGAGCTGTTCAAACATTAATGAGAGAACTCTGTGTAAAACTTTCCTGTCAATGTATTCTACAACTAAATTTCATTTACGGGGCATCAGATACTCAAGTCGCAATTTTGTTAGTTGGCTTTCATGATGCTCGGTATATGACTAGATTTTACATTTCCATCTTTTCCTATTGTACTTGTAAATACATACGGGGATTCTTGTAAAGTTGGGAAGACTACCATTAAATACAAGATTCACTCGGGTAGATTTGCATATATTGATTGTCATCACAGGACATCTTCTTCTCCATGACAAAAAAGAATGTTTCAAGTGCGAAATATTAAAACAAGGATGCAACATAGTCTCGAAGATTACTTGAAAGGTTCATGGCAAGTTGATAAAAAGAAAAGGAAGGATGCACGCATCATCATCTCAAGATTCACTTGTTAGCTTATGACAAGTTGGTATTGTATATTTCTTGTGTTTTCCCTAGGAATATGGAGTCGAGTGGAGGGCTGCAAAAGAACCTTCGACTATTTTGGTCTTAAGTTGTAGAGAAGTTAGGAAATGTGAAGCGCATTAAGATACATGTAAGTTGTACGCATTCTAAGGTCGTGATACATGTAAGTTGCATATTTAGAATCTAATACATGTATTCTCATACAAGTTTTTGAAAAGTATTGAGAGTTTAATTCCCTTATAACTTAGTATCTTAGATAGACGCCCAAGTTTTTCTTTGGCTCATCAAGCTTGTTTCTTTGGATATATATATCACTTGTTTTGATGAGACAATTGTAACCATCATCATCAAGAAATACAAAGAAGATCATATTTGAAGTCGACTTACAATTAATAATATCTTTAGAAAGATTATGAGACATAATATCTCATTAGAATAAAATCAACACTCACATTCAATGTCTTTCGTCTCTTCAATCTTTCACATGTTTTGATTTGCGAGAAAAGACTCCACAGAAGTCTTTTATTTTTTTTATTTTTATTGACAATGATAAAAAGAGTTCCACACTAAAACTATTAATATATTTACTAAAAGACATCTGAAAAGAGAGTTATTGTTTTGCCTTAACTTAAATCTATGGAATCTTTTAAAGAACATCTTCACATCATTGTCCCTTTGCTACCATACAAAGAAAAATAAACTTGAAATAGAAAAAAAAATTATATTACCAAGATAGGATGAACTTCTTTCAACTAACAATCCATGTGTGTTTCTGGAGGAAGAACGATAATTTTAGATTATCTTATGCTTTCAAAATCTTCCATGAATTGTCTTGTCTTCAATTATATCATCTAATCAAATATTCTAGAATTATATTTTACTTTCCACTTGTCTCGTACAGTCTCGATGACAAAAACATACACTTCAGATTGCAAGTAGTATGATCACGAGAGTTGCACACAAATCATACAAAGGGAGACATAAAGATAAAAGAATATTTGTCAACACTGATTGGAAGTGGCAAAATGCTTGCAGACGTAAGGGAGGAGAAAGAAAAATGAGACGTGAAATATCATTGATGACGATGGAAAGGGAGGAACTAAGCGTCGAGGAGGAGAGGAAATAAAGAATCGTTTTTCGTTTGGAAAGGAAAGAAACTTACCACGCATGCATAGATGGAATCTTCACTTCTTTGCGATGGATCTTCGAGTCATTCTCGTGTTGTCCTTCTATGGTGGCGTTGTCACCATAGTTATCAAACCCCGACCGGACCGATTGATCAGACCGGCAAATTCGTGAACCGGACTTCCAACCGGTTTGACCCTTAAACTCCTTAAAGAAGATTTTTGTTCTACTAAACTCACCAACACATATATCAAATAAGAGTAACGAGTTACGTCCTCTGATGTGCTAATGCTAGTGCCTGCAAAAATAAGTTTATTGGTTTCTCTCAAACTATAATATCTTAAATTTTGTGTGCTAATACGTTTTTTTATGGATTTATCATAATTTATATTGTGCTAATACGCTTCTACGATTCTAAAAGACATCTTTTCTAAACATAAGCCATTACCCCTTAGAAATTAAGACAAAAAAAAAGGGCTCGAGCTTCACATTTTTATTATGATGATTAGTTATTTTAGTTGTTTTTGGCCGAAAAGAACTTGTTATAGCTCATCTTCATTCTCCAAGGAGCTTACAATCATAGTTGATCGGACTAGGCACTATGTCTTGAATATGTCATGCGTAGCACTCACATAATCTCTAGAATTCTACTTCGTTTCATACTTGAATTCAAAATCAAATAAAAGTCTTTAACATTTAATTCCAACGGGGGAGAAACAGGCCTTAAATATTGTTGGCCTAAGTAGGAGCACACTTGAAGTTAGCTTTTCCCCAAAAGTAAGGCCATTAGATCTTGTGGAGGCCCTATAGTTAGTTAGGTATTGGATCCTCATGATCCGGTTTATGAGTCATCTATCCTTGGATTTAGAATTTTATCTTCTAAATGTTTTCTATTAAGAGTAATCAATATAGGCTATATAATGATGTATCTTTGAGAGAAAATATGGAACTCGAGCTTTCCTTTCCATCCGAGCTTTCAATTCCTCATTCAAGCATGATATCAATAATCACTGGATCCCAATTACCAAAAAATTGCTTAGTTTTCACTAAATCTCCTCGTTTATTTCATTTGTCCGAAACAAAATGATACATTAAGTATTGACATTAGCTTATGTGAGTGCACCAACATTCGAGTTTTTACGATGATTTATTTACTTCATACCAATAGCTATGAAAAGATATTAAAGACTTATTAGCAAATATTCATGTGTTAGGAGTGAATAAAAAAAAAAAATCTCACATCAAAAAAATTGAAAAAGACAGATGACATATACTCAGCTTGCTCATAACATAACAAGTTTAAGTGTTTTTTTTAGTTAAATTGGTCTTTGACCTGATATATGTTAACCCTAGTTAACTTGAAAAACTCATCATTGATTTATAACATGGTATCAGAGTTAAGATTTATAAAAGATTAAATAATAAAATTAAATATTAATCATGATTTGATGAAAAAATAGGTTCAAATATTCATCTATGAGAAGAGATTGAAAAAAGAATTAAAAGAATAATCCCACCTAAAGAATACATATATTGGATTGACTTATAATTTAACAAGCTTAAACTTTTGGATTAAAATAATATTTGACTTGATATATGTTAATATGATCGATTTAACTAAGGCTCATCGATATTATTTTATAAGAAACTAATTAAGGTTATCATGAAATATAATTGAATCTAATACTTCTGGATTTGCTAGGTGGGTAGCACAAGAACTTTAAATAGACATTTTGTGATTGAAGTTTTATCTTTTAACAGAGTCAAGAGCCTAAGATCCATGTCGAATGAATGAAACAAAAGGAGAAACACAAGTGTTATTCTTGAAAGCTGTTGTGCCAAACTGCATTAATTTAAAAGAGAGATTTTCCAAATTCTGCATTGAAATTTGCTGTCACCAATCTTCCTAAAATTGATGTTCCAAATCAACAAGAGAACTAAGCACAAAAGTGCCACTTCTTTGTACTCTTTTGCTTGTGTTTCAGTTGAATATTACTAATTAAGCTCCTAATCATTGTGACAGTACCCCCCCCCATTATCTTTGTGAAAAGATTATGATAATACATGTGGCCTTCAATTCACACCAACACCACCACCACCACCACCACCACCGGGTGTCTTTTTGAACACCTCTCAGAAACACGCAAGAACATTGTAGAAGGGACAGTGGGAAGTAAAGAAGGCACCAGAAATGGAAGGACATCCTTTCACCGATAAGAGCACCTACATGCAATTATAACTGAGGTGGGGGTGTGGCCTCAGGATGGTGAAAGACACTCGAGGAAGGAGATGCAGTCTCCCTCTTTGTCTCCTCGCCTTGAGAAGATTTGAGGCTTCGATAGAGTCCAGTTGGACAACGCGCATTCGGCAGGCAAGCACGTGGAGATCGGGGACCGGCCACTATAACTCTATAATTATGCTGTCTCCATTCTCTTCTTAGGTGAAAGCAACATAAAGGGAGGATTGATGTTGAACTGTTTTGTTGGAAGAAGCAGTACTGGTGCTGGAATAGATGTATAGATGGCTTCACTCAATCCATGACAGGTGCAATTTCTCTACGCCTTCATAGTTTGTAAAGATTTATTGCTCATTGGAAGCATTAGAAGCTTGAAAGTGGTGGATATCAATCATCATGGTTTGACATTTGGTGATCGCTATCCGGGCATCGCAACTTCAGCAGCCCCCACTAAGTTCCAACCCAAACTTCCAACATAAAAAAGGAAAGAGAGGGTGAAAGAGAACGTACGTTTCAGTGTTTCAGTGGTTCAATCTTCCTATGAATGGTACGTTCTCTTTGGTCGGCCGCGGAGGGGACGGCGAGCGGCCCACATGTCAGCCGACCACCCTTTCTCTTTGCTTAAAGTCTGCGCAGATTTGATTCATGGTTATCTGATAGGTATCATGATTCAGTGATTATAATTTCAATAATCACCTCAATCATGATCTAGTAGTTATAGGGTGGTTTCAGTAACTACCTCAATCTAGTAGTTATAGGATGAATGTCACTAGATCATATAAATAGGATCGTAGTTCATGAAGCAAGAAAAGAGAGTCTGTACATTTGGTATCTTGTAAGTGTTCTTATCAATCCTCTTGTTTTTTAATACTATATCAGTTTTCTTGAGTCAAAAGGCTTCTTTTTACTTGAGCATTATGACTTTTAACGATAATTCCATGTCTCATCTCCTTATCCCCATCTTCTCGGTCAAAAGGTATGAATTTTGGAGTATCAAGATGAAGACTCTATTCAAGTCTCAAGATCTTTGGGACTTAATAGAGAATGAATATGCGGATCCAGATAACGAAATCAGGCTGAGGGAGAATAGAAAGAATGACTCAAAGGCATTGTTCTTCATTCAACAAGCTGTACATGAGACGATCTTCTCAAGAATTGCAGCAGCAACAACCTCAAAGGAAGCTTGGTTGATATTTCAAAATGAATTTCAAGGTTCATCAAGGGTGATTACGGCAAAACTTCAAACCCTCCGTCGTGAGTTTGAAATTTTGTTCATGAAAAGCAATGAATCGGTGCAA